ATACAGCATTCCTTCCGACTTTCGATCGAACCCTGTCAAAAAGTCAGTGATGGATGCTTGCAAGGACGATCGATGGATGGCCCTCCATACCTCGGCTCCCTACTTCGCTGCCAACGCCACGGCTCCGTAGGTAGCTGCCTGATCACGGAACGAGTCATGACGGCGAAATGGAGGTGGGACATTGCTTGGGTGTAAAAAGGCGACGAAGGTGTGGCCGCCAGGGCCTTGGATGACGGATTGGCAGCTGTAGCGTAGCAAGAGGAAAGAGGTAAGAGTCACTGACCGCACCTGGTGAGAAAGAAAACGAAAGAGCATGGACAGAGACTCTGCTTGGTGAGGTCGGGGCGTATGAAATGCTACCTTCGGTCTAAGGAGAGAGTCTGAATTGTACTCTGAATTCTCTTCTGCGCCGTCTATCGTGACAAGCTGCATTTGCTTTACATGGCTCACACCCTCGCTTTACGGTCAGAAGTGGCTGCTTGTTGGTTGTTTGGACGCAGGCCACGGCCCTCACTTCCTTCCTCGATAAACCCGTCATTACTGCAAACCAGCATATGCTGCGTCGTGGATAATCCTCCCCTGTGTCCAGATCATCACCTTCCTTCTTCTTCGTCACTCGCTATTCTTTCATTCCTCTGGCTATCACCGGTTCTCCTGGAGGGGCACTAATGATCCCGACCTCTCTACGATTACCATCTTCGGTGCGCTTCTAACCCCTTCATGTCAACCGACAACGCCCTCTCTCAAATACGTCGTGACAGACGCTGCGTTCTGAAGGTGTTTAACTTCAAGTACTCCCAGAGACTTACCCAGTGACTACAAATGCAGGGTTTCCACACGAGAGTATGCGGCCACTCCTACCAAGTGACGGCTAACAACGAATGGTTCAAAACCCACCCCGGTGTATTGACTTGAGCAGAACTTGGATGTCGAGAAGAGTCGAAGGACACTTCTAGCAGATAACTCGGTGAGCAGATGGGACTTGCTTGCTTCGAGCTCGACGATGTGTACAAGGACGCTTAAAGCAAGGACTGCCATTTTCCGATGAGCAGTGGCATACCATACACTGCCAGATCCATACTGTGATCTACAGGTTGTCGCTTCAAGGTTTGCAGGACGATGATCTGCGATCGGCCAACATCATGATGTGCACGGGACGGCCCTGAACAGTTCCGAATTGTGTTGATCGACATGGGCAGACTGACAGTGTGCGACCAAGAACACATTGATTGTATTATTCAATGGACGAGGTCGACGTCGTTATCTCGCATCGAGATCGGAACCCCAGGTTTGGCAGTACAAGGACAACACTATACACCCAGCAAGTCAGTGAAGATCTGGAGGACGACATACAAAGCGTGATGGAATCCATCGTCTTCTCCTCATATATCAACTCCCAGCACTGCCCGTTCCGCGGAGTTTTGACGATGCAGTTTCGAGCTTTCTTAGTAGTCACCAAGAAGATTGCGGAACCACAGCATGACGCTTTCTTTAGAGACCCTGTGTGCAAGCTTCGATGAGTCAATGTTAAGTGACGAGCCCGCGACTGTCGTCGCATTCTACCATATGTCGGGTGCATCTTGGGCTCTGAGTACTGCAAGCATTCTCTATTCGCCATATGGGATTTTCACGTCTTTCTTCGGATTGGTCTTCACGTCCGTCGGCTAGGTTACCACCAAGAGGACAGTAACGAACTCTCACCAAATGTCCACCCTGCCTCGGTATACGCTTGAAAAATTCCCAAACGGCGCCAAATTTCCGTCTAAAGTCAAGCAAGTTCAGCAGTAGGCGCAGACATCAAAGCTCTGGTCCGGGCCAAGTATGCAGGTCCCCCGACTCCTCTCATTTCTAGATAAGCGTCAGAGGCAGCTTCAAAACAAGGACCAGACTCTCAGGACGACTTTGTCGTTAGTGACCAATTGCCAGAGTGCTGGAAGAGATATTCTCTGGTTCGACGACGATATCCCTCGATCTTGGCCAGCCTCCAACGATCGATTCCATCCTGCAGAGTCAGTAAAAGCAGTTGCATATGGCGCCAGAGTTTCCAAGCTCCGTACAGGTGCCCTGCGCTTCACAAGAGCCCTATCAGTTGGACTTTACATGACACAACAATCCCCACAGGCTGCCGAACTTGTGTTGACCAGGTATTGGCGTCGGCCCAATTGTTCAACATAGTGATAGGTCTCGATAATCTAGACGTCGACGATATGCCGACCACCAGTGGACCTGCTCCGGTATCCAACGCAGTCTCCCCGACAGGAAAACGGAAGAAGAGAGCAAGAAGTGCAGAACGATTAAACCAAGGTTTGCTTGACCATCACTAGTCGTCAGCTTGGCACATGAGGGTCCAATGGCATCTTATTCAGCTTAACGAGCGTGATGCTATCTACCAAGAGATTGTGATTGTGTACAATTGAGACCAGCAAGTCCGGACAGGCACGTCTGGCGCATTTGGCACAAATATCCCTCACGGAGTTGGTGCTGATTCGCCGCTGGGACAAGTTTGAGCGCCTTGACGGACGCGATAAGGACTAGCATCCTGGCACGCTATCCGGCTGGCGCATCTCGTCGATAAACCGTTGCGATAACCGTTGCGATACCTCGATGCAGTACAGTTTGTGGGGTGGGGCGCACATGGGACCTCTTGATATGTGTGTGTGCGTGAGTGTGTATACAAGCACCCCCATGCTATCTTGCCTATTGTTGAAAGCAAACGGCTGCATGTCGAATGTTGCTCACTGTTGCCAGAGAGCTACTGATGAGTGGTCAATACATTCCATACCAATTGCACAGCCAAAGCCCAGCCGTTGTGAGAGGGAACTATGAGAGGCACAGCAGTATAGGTACAAGTTTCTTGTCATCCTGGCAGTCGGCCGTATGGGAGCAGCACCCAAAAGAGAAAACGGATAAACGGCCGGAGGAATGAAGAATCTGCAAAACCTAGAACCACACAAGGATGTTGCGTCTGGCAAAGAAGTGTCCTTCCTCTTTACCAAGGTTAGCCCTGTCGGACTATCAGCGGTGCCCTCGTCCATCCCATCCATCCCATCCTGGCCATCACAAATGTTTGCTTTACCAAGCTGACAGCATCAGTATGAAGAATACGCATTGCCACGTACCCACTCCATAACGCACACCCAGTTAAAACCTGCGCGTACCTGACAGCACTGGACTTGCCGGGGCCCGAGAAAAGTTAAACGGGGAATCTGTGCGATATCTATCGACTGCCAAGTTTGTTCCTGCATTCATTGAACGGTCAAGATGGTCTTCTGGGATCCACTGCTTCATTGGTACCGAGTTGTCGGGTTTGCATCGACACTTGTCCAGCCATCCATTGGAGAACTGCAAGACGACTGCTCGAGCCTGGCACCAATCCACTCGCAGTTGCCTCGCTTCTCTTCATGGAGCCTTCAACTCTCTCGGTCGTTGTCTTCGTCTTAGCGAGCAGGAATAAACGATCTTACCTTCTTTTTTTCGCTCGGTAAGAGACCGCGCAAGTCATGATTGGCCCTCGAACCGATACTTCTGCTGAGTGCAGGTGAGGCGGGTCAAAGAAGAGAGCGGTTGGCAGTTGGATTTCCAAATCCACAACGACGGCGCGGTCATGGTTTCCTCAGTCGCAATGCCAATGCCTTGCCTGGTTCTGCAACGCTTGGTCTTGCAGATGCAGCCATTCCGGAGTTCCACATGAGAGAGCAAACACTACTCGTAGGCAGATTATTTGCTGCGAAGTGACGTCCTAAGAGCATGCGAACCAAGGTATCTGAACACGACCTGTGCATGAAAACAGGGTTTTTATCCCGGTTATTGGTAAACAAATTCAAGCTTCCGAAACCTATTGGCCGAGTTTGTGAGCAGGGTGTGCCTCCAGAGGGAAATACTTTCACATGGATGCATGTGTGTGTGTGTACATGCTGGTGGTCAAGTGCCAGCCAGCTCAACCAAGGCTTCTCTACCACTGGGTCAGTCTTCTTGGGTTCCATTGGCGTTCTTGGGTTGCCACTTTTGGTTCTGGGTCGGGAGTAAGGGCCGCTCTGACCTTGCCGCCCAGCCTCGGAATCGGCCAGCCTCAAGCCTGGAACAACTTCACACACTGTTTGGTGGTCATCGCGCTCTGCACGGCATTTTTGACGTGTTTGTTGCTGGACAGCCAGACAGCCTCACGGTCGAACTCAGATCTGGAGATCAGGGCCTGTTTCGGGCGCGCAAGCCTCTGCCTTTTCATCGAATCGCCAGTCTGTGTCCGAAATGAAAGCCCCAGGTTGGGACTCCGGTCAACGACGCCGGCTGACGTAGGCGAGAGGATAAGCTCTGCACTGGGTCAGGTACGCGAGAGAAACAATGGCCACGATTCGTCCAGTGCCTGGAAATTGGCAGAGTCAGTGTGAGGCTAGGGCGTTTCACGAAGCCGGACTCAAAGCCTAAAGGGCGACAAGTATGAGGCCCACCGGGGCAACTGACAGGGGCCATCTGGACCCCGGTGCGCCACAGCCGGGGGCTATCTCCTGGGGATAATTCATGTCCATTGGCTGGGTGTTGGGAAATGCTGCTCTCCCTTGCTGGGTCCTCCCATCTCCTAGCTCCCCCTGTGGTCCCCTGCGGCGGTGGGCTCTGTTGTGGCAGCCCGTTCTGCTTGCATGTCTCTTCCTTGTCGTTCTCCTCTTGTTGCTCTCCTTCCTTTTTTCCCGCCCAGAGTGCGTGTTGGCTTGCTTGATTGTTATATTATTGCCTCAGACGTCCCTCGAGACGTTGTCCGCTCCTTCTCCCCAGCCCTGCCAGCAGACAGCTCGCGTTCACTCTCTCACGCGAAAGCCTCGTTCGCTTCGTCGCTCTCTTTCCCTTTCTACAAACACTCCTTTACCAGCCTCTCGATCTGAGATCGACACAGAATCCCAGTGATTACCACTCATTTTCCACACATAAACCACGAATCCTCTTCTTGACCGGACCTCAAGAAGCCCAGGCAAAGTCAAGCCGGTACAGGACCAGACAACGACACAATGCGCTGCACATTTTCCTCCTTGGTGCTGGCCACCCTCGCCATTGGCCAGGCATATGCTGCCACCGTCTCTGGTGTGCACTCGCATGCGCACAACCATGCCAAACGCAGGCACGACCACGTCGAGTAAGGCGATCCTCGTGGGTGACACAGATCTGTATATGGACTGACACTTGTCAACTGCAGGAAACGTGCGGCAGCTCTGTCTGATGCCGATGCTGCCAAACTGAGCTCCTTGGGTGTGGCCTCGCTTGGTGCCAACTCCTACACCGCCAATGGGCACGCCTGGCTCGGACAGGATGGCCCGTACCAGAATGAGTTCGTCAACGAGTCGGGCGAGGATCTGATTCTCGTCATCTGGGGCGTTGCAGGCTCCTGGATCAACGCTGTCCAACCCACCATCACCGCCTCGCTTCCCTCCAATTCATCTACCTGGGTTTCGTTCGCCGATGGTGCTTCTGGTGCTTGGACTGCCATCTACCCCGATACCCAGATGGTGAACGGACAAGTCAGCAACACCTGGGGCGAGTTCACCTTTGGTGAGTGGGGCGTCGTCGACGTTTCACGCGAGGTCAACATGAACGGACACTCGATGAGCATTGTGGGACCATCATGCACCACTGACATGGATACTTGCGTCTTTGTCTGCTCTTCTGGAGACGTGTGCATGTTCGACTATCTCCTCCTCAACTGCGAGAACGGCTCTCAACCCGGTGCCAACTATGGTACATTTGAAGGCTCGCCCAGCGGAGGCTGTGGTGGCATGGGATCTTCTGCCACCCTCAAGACAACTTTGTCATAAACAATCGGCGAACCAGATGATGAGGTTGAGGAGAGGTTGGGGGATTTCCTTTTTATAGAAGAGTCGGGTTCTCACATGGTCGTGCCATGCATGCTACTGCAAATCAAGAGAAGAGGGAAATGTTGGGACTATTTGGGTCACGATATCGAAACATGTCAACAACTGGATCTACTGGACTGATGTTTCCGACCACTCTACCGATGCCATTTGGCAACATTCAATCCTTTTGTTGTGTATGTGTCTTGGAATGGGGATGCGTTGGATAGGTGCTCTGTCCCTTGTTGGAAGGGGAGGAGAGTGTTGTTCATGTTAACCTCGAGGGTGTAGTGTCTATCTATCCTGAGATGCAAGTAGACGACATGTACCACTCTGCTTCCCTCTGGAAGGTAGAGACCGGGATCTGTCCAGGTGTTACATATTCAGAATATACGCTCCTGAGTATATACTTGTGTGTTCCTGCTGTATCCTTGATCGTGATCGTGGCTCGTCCTATGCGAATGCCCCAGCGTTGCGCCGACCGTCACTCACCTCACCCCATAACGTCTTATCTACCTCTTCCCTGTGTGACATTGCGCCCTTGATAGGCGCTGGCAAAAACAAACTCTCTGTCTGTGCGTTTTTGGTCATGTAGCTTCCCGCCCCCATTGTTCCGTCCTTCCCACTCTTTTCCCGGCCAGCGCACCCGCCTCCGCTGCCGCTGCCACCCGCGTGTCCCCATTGATAGCGAGACGGATCTTATTCTTGCTGACACTGCGTGCGACCTGCGAGTCCCCGATGACACACACGCTCGTACATTATTATTGTGGAGAGGTCATCCAGAGCGGGTAGAAGCATGAACTGCACTGCGCGGTGGTCATGGTCGCTTAGAGGGAGAAAGTTCTTAGTAGCGTAGCGCTGTGCTCTGCTGTGCTCTGCTGTGCTGTGCGGTGCTGTTTTGTGGGCTGTGGTTTTTTCTCACCACATTGCGACCCATTGGGGGCCAGAGCTGCAAGGAGAGACGCCATGGGGAGCTGCCTAGGAGAGTCACCGACAAAAAGAAGGGAATGCGACATCGCATGCTGTAATCAGCGAGATCCTCGAGACCGTCATGTGTTTATTGTGCGCGCACGCTTACGGGCAAGCGAATCTGCAGCTGCGAACAAAGTCATGGTCAACAACTCCGGGGATCGCATCTTGACACCATGTCGTCCCTTGCGATGGGCTAGGTAGGTACCTCGTACTGATGACACAGACAACAAAGGCGCACGCACCGCCATGTGGTAATACGAGACCCTATCGGAGGCTTTCTTAGTCAACAAACCTCGGTGGCTCCAAGCAAGGGCCTCCAGGGCCAATCGAGAGGCATTTGACGCCAAAGGGATAAAGGTCGATAGGGCAATGGGTGTTCGAACAACTCTGTTCGTTCGGCCCCGTTTGAGGCCATCCATGATCGAGAAATGGGTTCGCTTCTCTTCCCAGTAACAGCTCCCCTGCAACCCAGGCTTGTCGATTCTCTCGTGGGGCCAAAAAGGTGGCCTCGAAACGGCCAGATTTGCCGTTACAGATGCTGCTTTTGGGCCTCCGCTTGAGGGCAGCAGCACCGACCAACCCAGTTGGGAATGTTATGGTTAGTCATCGGTACGTGCTTGCCCACCCAGCCCGTGGGTTGGTCCATGGGGTTGTCAGCCATATGCTGTTTGCTAGGCTGGGCTCGAGGGCTCTAGGAAGATGTACTACTACTGGTCACGACCAAGTCACCGCACCGCTTGGGGGGTTCTTGATTCGATACCTGGGCGGCTTGTCCATGAGGTGATTCGACGACGTGTCCTCGGCCCGAGCATAGAGGGCGATGATACCCTGGACACCCCCTACAAAACAAGACAATGGTTGTTCGAGTCGCCCAGCTGGAAGCTTCTTTTCTGTTAGCGATGGCCTGACAAAGCGGGCACAGGGCATAGGGCCACAAGACCGTCTGGGAGGCCACATTATTCCAAGCGTGAGAAGAAGGTTTCTTGTCAAGTAGATTTGACCATATTCTATTCCCCCCAGAATTATTCAATTCTTCCACTCCTGTCGTGCTGGCCTCCGGGTCGAACCCAACGTCGCCGATGACGGACGTCGAGGAAGCCAGAGCTTCCGCCCAGCAGATGCCATGAGGCCAAGGTACGCACAGAACTATCCATACCCCATACCCCGCGGGAGTTTTTCTACGGACCTAATCGGGCGAGGGCAGTAAGCAGAAAACATGGGCCCAACAGAGGCTCCAGCACCGATGGCGAGCGATTCCTCCGTTGGGAAAGAGATGTCCTCCTCCTGCTCCTCCTCCTCCTCCTCCAACCTCAGACGACGCGGCGGAGAAACAGAACAGCACTACTAGCGACGAAGACACGAGTCCTCCCCCGAATCCACGTACGATCCTCAGCGCGGCAAGGACGGATCCCTTTGCCAACTACACCATTCCTCACTACGCGCATGAAGCCATGGATCACGGTAAGTTTTGTGTGAAAACGGGCAAACCCCCCCGCAAAAGGAGAGCCAAAAGGGGTTTGTTGGGTTTTTTTACTCACGACAAATTGTCCTGCCGGCAGCATTGAGTTTCACCTGGCCGCAATGTCTCCCCACCGATCTCGAAAAGATTGTGATACCGTTCCGAGCGACGTGGATGCGGCTGGTCATGGCGTCGCCTCTCGTGCTGCACACCTTCATCTTCGCCACCACCAAGCAGCTGCTGTGCCTGAGAGGGCAGAAGGAGGACGACATGTCGCAGCTGGCGGTGCGGGCGCCGTCGATCCACCAGAGCGAGGCTCTCAACCACGCCCGAAACGAGATCGAGTCGCTGGAAGGAGGGCCTCCCTCGGACGGAATGATTTTGGCGGTCATCATCCTCGCTGTCAATGGCACACGTCGACAACACATCCCACCACAACCTCATCCGGTCTCTCCCCTCGCAAAGACCCAGAGCCTCCATCTCTTCAGTCTGCTGAACGTCGTCGAAGCGCACGTCAAAGCCGTTGCCCAGCTCGTGTCTCTGAAGGGGGGTCTGGGAGCGGTGGATACGTACGGTGTCCGAGATACGCTTTTGCTGTAAGTTCCCCTGAAATTTCTTGGTGTAGGTTGTGGGTTAGAGACCTAACCCTCCCCGCCAGAGCCGACATTTACTTCTCGTCCATACTGGGCACGAGGCCGGGTCAAGTCTGGCCCACGCCGGTGACGAATCTTGTCGATGCTGGCCTGCACTCGCTGGACGCAAGGGCCGAACACCTCGTTTCCCAGCTCGGCACGGGGTTTGGCCCCTTCAAACTAGACGACGACCTCCGGGTCGTCCTCCAGCTCATGTGCGACCTTGTCGTCGCCCTGGACCACCACGTCCGCAAGGGAAGCCACCCGCCGGAATGGTCCGACATCATCCTGCAGCGCAACGCCGTGCAGAACAAACTCCTCTGGCTGAAGCCGTCGACGCACGAGGAATTTGTCAAAGCCGGTACGCTCAACAACATCACCCGCCTCGCCGCCAACATCTTCAGCGACATGGTCCTCTTCCCGCTCAGTCCCGCCACGGGGATCAAGCCGCGCCTGGCCGGCGAGCTGCGGCGGTGTCTGCGGACCCTCCCCATCCTCGACATCGAGGAGTACGGTCCCCCCTCGGAGTTTTTCCTCTGGGTGCTCACGCTCGGCGGGATCGCCGCGTCCTTCACCAGGCACCGCGGCTGGTACATCGAGAAGCTGGCCGAGTATTATGGGGAGGTCCTGGTCCTTTGTAAAAGCGGTAGTGGGAGTGAGAGTGGGAGTGATGATTCGATACTAAAGCGCATGCGCCCCTTCCTGTGGTGGGCAGACGTCTGCGATCGGCCGGCACGGCTGCTGTGGGCACAGTCGCGCGACGTCTACGACGAGGAGAGGAGTCTTGAGGGGGAGTATCCCCCGATTTCGACATGACAGGCGCACAGGTAACAACGCGAATATCTGGGGCGCACAGGTTGGGTTGGGTAGGTCTCAAATTACTGACCTAGGCAACAAGCGAGGAATGAATGTTTGATGATTTCCAGTGATACTACGATGTAGGTACTTGGTACTTCCGGAGTGTGATTTTATTAATCTCTTTCACAGCCTCATGTACTCGGTAGTACCGACGGATCGTGTCAATCGAGAAATCCTACCAAAGTACCAAGGACGTCTGCGAGGCGAGGTCAACGAGTATGGTCATGGGTCACGAGCCATGGAGTTCTTACCCCAGGTGTTGTCCCTGGCGCACTAATATTGGCTACTTGGTACTACCTGTTCTGTCTGCCTGTCGCGCTGTGCTGTGCTGTGCTGTACCAAGTCCTGCACTACTAATCACTTGGTATATCCTCACCGGATCCATCTCTTGGTCATTTCAACGAAAGAAAAGGGTACGGATAGGTGGTCCCGCACCGTGATATCATATCCAGCCCAGGATAGTGGCTCGGAAATAATAGCAAGGGAGGCAAGGGATGGTATGGGATAGTAAGGGAAGGGGGGTGGTAAGGGATCTATCTCTCTTTTGGACCAATGGCATTGTACATACAAGTCGAGCACTTAGTCGGCCAGTGCCTTCAAGGGTTGGGAGTTAGACTCGAGCTCTTCAAGGTTCATTAGACGCGGTGGTAGTGATGTTGGTGATGCATCATGTTGGTTGGATCCACTGATCCAAGATCAACTGTAACTGACGACGATCAAAATCCCACAAAGTAAATTCAGTCACCAATACAGTTGGTTATCATTACGATGTCGGCATTGTATTCCGCAGAGTTTGTCACTAGTATGTATTGGTAGATGATTGCGTCAAAAGATGTGCGAGTAGCTGGAAAATCGGTGGTATGAACCCGTCCAAAGAGACAGATGATCGACAGACACTATCGACACTACCTTGCAAGAGTATAGATGAGAGGCCTCGAAGCGTAGAAGCACAGAGAGCACCGGAGACAATCATGCCGTGACGTAGGCCAAGAGAAGAGAACATCACCAACACCGTGTGAATGTGTACAGGGAAGATATTTTGATTGATTGTGCAATAGTCTGATTTGGATTCAGGGTCCAAGGGAGGGGCATTCGATGGTAATCAACGAAACAACAAATAACGACAAATGACAATTTCGATTTTGGGTTCACATCACCCATCACGCCTATCCATGCATGCATACCTCGTACTAGTACCCACGATGGGCACACACAAACCATGTAGGCAGGCAGCAAACCCCCATCGAACGTACACTGAGTACCTAGGGAAATATCCAACTCGATGATCCAATCACGGAGGTCTAGTATATTCACGTATTCGGCATAGATCCTCTCCAATTCCCAATACGACTTACCAAGTACTTAGTACTGAACAAGCACACCTCCCTCCTTGGGAAGGTGTCAGCCTCACCAGCCTCGTTCATGAAGCACTTATGTTTACCCATGTGGTACCACGATAATCCAAAGATTCTGTTGGGGACAGCTGTACATTCGTCGCTCGAGTTGAGAACGAGGTACTGGTTGCTCTCTGGTTGGTTGGTTGGTCGGTCGGTCGGTCGGTCGGTCAAACGGGACAGATAAAGACATGGAGAGTACACGGAGCAGTTACATACTGAGTAAAAAGGTTGACGAGTACTTGCCGAGTCAAGTCCGCTTGAGCCACGAAAACATATACCAAATGCTCAAAGTTCCCCGTCTTGGATATCCTCGAGTTCTATCTGGTTGGTTAGGACTCATCCGATCATCTATCTACGCGTGCGCCACGCATGTGCCACGCATGTATGCTCGGACCGGAGCCTGGTCGAGTGGCCCCGTAGTTATCGAACGACGGGTGTATGTGCTCGGCCTCGTTACCTACGTCCACATGTAAATAGTCTCTCTCCATCTGGCCGCGGAATACCCGCGTTGCTTCCTCGCGACGCTTCTAGTCTCGTCTCCTCGCCCTAGGAAAGGAAAGAATACTGCATTCTGCGTTCTCTGCCTTATGGTTCTGCCGGTAATATACCCCTGCAGCGAGCTAGGCATCAAGTACAAGGGGCCGTAATTTTCAGCCCCTCCGACATTAATAAAAGCAGCAGGGAAACTCCACACAATTATGCAAAAGGACTTGCCGCTTTGTGACCCTCCGTGGAGAGAGATAGAGATCTGACACCAGATAATAGTGTGAATCCCATCCACCGCAGTGCCCGATTTAGCATGGATCCAGTCAGCTTGCGACGCTGGGGCGGATAAGGCGCCGACTCTTAAGCTTACTGGGCCTGTAGGGGTTCGCTCAAGTAGAGAGCCTCAAAGGTCACCTGTACCCATGTACTAGTAGTCGTTGATCTCGCCTCGTAGATGGAAGCGAGGTCCGAGCTAGATCTCGACCCGGCCATCTCAAAGGTCACGATACGTGCTCATTGCCGATTGATCTCCGTTCGGCGAAGATTGAATATTAAGTAGGATTGAATCATCAAACCGCACACTATTCCGGAACAACCAGACTTGCCGCATACGTACCAAAAAGCCATGAGATGAAGCCATGACAAAAGAGGAACTATCCCAAGAGCGTGACCACCGTCGAGCGCAGGGCGCGGGCGCGGGCGCGTCAGGGTGCATGATCCAGTCTAGCCGAACATTCCCGGCGTTGCTGACGGCTTGGCTTGGGGGTTTGATACTCGGTCGTGGTTCTCGGCCTCGTATGTCTCACATCATGTCCCTATTGTGCAATTCATCCGGACTTTGTGCTGATGCCGGACAACTTGTCTCTACGAATGCATATGTGTCTGTGCAAGCACAAAATCGCCATATCGAATATCCACGAATCCGTCGCAGGGCCGCGAGGTTCCGATCGGCGATAGATCAATCTCCGGGATACGAACAGGATCTTTACTTACAATTCTACCTTTTGGATGGCAGGAAGGTGGGATGGGAAAGCAGATCCTCGCCTTGACCCATCGCAGTATGATTCAGCCGTCTTGAAAAGGGATCAACCTACTAGAGGCTCTTATCGCATGATCAACTCGGATGATACTGTACTTGACTGATGCGCCGCAGCAGTTCGGCTGTTGAGGTCACCGTCGTCAAATGTGCTGCAGCCTGTTAAACATCAGCATCTGCTCTGGGCCAGTCTACAGTGGTGTCTGTCCGCAATGTCCGAATGAACCGTCGGCAGGCATGAATGACTCCACCTCATGGTGAGTGAAGCTCTCTCTCAGATTGTGAGAAATTTGACGATTGGTTGTACGTGTCGTGTGCACCGGACTTTGTCATGTCTTCCGAAGGTGCATATGTAACCAGTCCGCAGTGACCACAAGGTAATGTCCACCCCCATGGGCCGTTTTGCCGTGATGCTGCATGCAGGCTTGACAAGTTAGGAAGAGTTGTGCGAGATGTCCGCCGAATGGCGCCAACCAGACAGACTGTTAAACAGCTTCTACTAGTAGGTGGGTGATTGTTCCCATGCCTGAAAGTATTCCCGAACAAGGTGTCCCGCTCGATCCCGCTCAGAACGATCCTGGATGGACATTTTTTGTTGAGGTAAGTGTTGCAGACAGACATCGTGTCGGGGCAGGGAGCTTTGTTTGAGTACTGGGAAAAGAGGACTGGGCTACTAGTAGCGGATATGAGGGTGGTTGTGTCGCTATCCAGTCTGCGGCTGATGATGGGACTCGATTGGTTGAAGGTCATAGACAGAAATTAGGAATCGGGAGAAAGGATGTTGTCCGCTTTACTGGACGGTTGGCTCGTGTCCTTCTTGATGGTTGACTCTCAGAAGTTCTAGACATCATCTTTTGCGTTGACAATGAAAGGAGGAGCACTCGTCCGCTTAAGCAAGGCACGACCCGCCGAGGCCACCCGCCCAGAATCACCCACAAACGCAGGTACTTGCTTACCTACCAAGTCCTTAGCTTAGGCGTGCAACTGGAGAGCTTCCCGGTGAGTGGTTGCCCAAGTCTTTTAATGGGTAAGACCAAGCGGGAGGCTCCAGGCATCCAGTCACCCGCCGCCCACTACGCCTCACCGGTCAGTAGAATCCAGTGGTAGAAATTGTGGGGAGATTGAGACCGCCAGCCTTACTTGACCAGCCTTACTTTCACGAAGCACTTTCGAGTTTGAAGTGTTACAAGAGTACAGTGAATGTCTCAGTCAAACATGCGTGTAACGTCCATTCGTCTCTTCAGACGCCTTTAACTTCTCACCATCTAGACTTCTCATTCATTTTCATCCCAGTCGTATCACGCAATGGGTCAACCCAGCGACATCAAACCCCTTCTCCTCAAGCCTCCTTCCACCTCCGCCTCACGATTCATGTCCCCGGTGCAAAGGTAGAAAAATGTCATCACCTCAAACTGAGGCATCGCAGGATTTTCACAATGAATGGACGGCCGAAGCCATCATCGTCGTCACCTGCATGACCCTGTCGCTGTACAACTGCGTCGAACTCCTGTTGACCATCCTGACCACGTTCCGAGAATGGCACGGCCTCTACTTTGCCGCGCTCATCGTCGCCTCCGTCGGCATCCTCCCTTATTGCCTTGGGTTCCTGCTCGAGTATTTTGAGTTCCTCGTCTTCTGGGCCGCCCAGATGTTCAGCACCATCGGTTGGGTCATGATGATCACCGGCCAATCCTTCGTGCTGTATTCACGTCTGGGTCTCATTCTACGCAATCACCAAGTCCTAAACGGGATCAAGTGGATGATCATCACGGACGCCCTCATCTTCCATACCCTCACCACGGTTTTCCAGTACGGACAGGCGTACGGCGGAGAGCAGCGCGCCTTTGATCGCGCTCTGTTCTACATGGAAAAGATACAAATGACGGCGTTTTGCGTGCAAGAATTCATCATCTCGGGCATCTACCTGTGGAAGACGGTGCAGCTGCTGAACTTGGTGTCTAAAGAGGGCACGCGGAGGGTCATGTGGGAACTCTTGACCATCAACACCGTCATTATCTTCATGGACATCGCCCTGTTGT